ATAGATGCAAAAATCCTCAATAAGATACTAGCAAAAAGAATAAAGAGGATCATCAAGAAGATCATACATCCTGACATAGTCAGATTTATTCTAGGGATGCAAGGATGGTTCAACATACGTAAGAAAATAGATGTAATACACTCTATTAACAAAGTCAGGGACAAGAAATATATGATCCTCTTGATAGTTGCAGAAAAAGCATTTGACAAAATTCAACACGCATTCATGATAAAAACCCTGCAAAAATTGAAATAGATGGTCTATATCTCAACTTAATAAAGGCTATCAATGAAAAACGAACAGCCAACATCATATTAAATGGCCAAAAACTGAAAACCTTCACATTAAAATAAGGAACAATACAAGGATAGCCACTAACACCACTCCTCTTTGATATAGTTGTGGAAGCATTAGCCACAGCAATTAGACAAGAGAAAGAAATTAAATCAATAAAGATAGGAAAGGAAGAAGTTAGACTGTCATTATTTGCTGATGATATGATACTCTATATTGAAGACCCAAAAAACTTCACTAAAAGACTTCTAGATTTAATTAACAGATTCAATAGAGTAGCTGGATAGAAGATCAACACCCCAAAATCAATAGCTTTCTTGTACACAAATAACAGACTCACTGAGAGAGAAATTAGGGAAACAATTTCTTTCACAATAGCATCCAAAAAAATGAAAAATCTAGGAATCAATCTAACGAAAGAAGCAAAAGAACTTTACACTGAAAACTACAGCACTCTGAAAAAAGAGAATGAAGAGGATATAAGAAAATGGAAAGATATCCCCTGCTCCTGGGTAGGAAGAATCAACATAGGGAAAATGGCCATAGTACCAAAACTGCTATACAGATTCAATGCAATGACAATTGAAATTTCAACACTATATTTCACAGAGCTAGAAAAAAGAATCCAAAAATTCATTTGGAACCATAAGAGACCTAGAATAGCCAAAGCCATCCTAGGCAACACATGGCAGTGGGTATAACAATTCCCAATTTGAAACTATACTACAAAGCTACTGTGATAAAAACAGCATGGTACTGGCAAAGAAACAGACTTGAAGATCAGTGGGACAGACTGGAAGACACAAAAACAACTCCGATGTACTCAGCTACCTCATCTTTGACTAAGGAGCTGACAATCCCCATTGGAGAAAAATAGCTTCTTTAATAAATGGTGTTGGAAAAACTGGATCTCAACCTGCCAAAGATTAAAACTAGACCCTTATCTTTCACCATGCACTAAATTAAAATCCATGTGGATTAAAGATCTAAATATTAAAACAATAACACTTAACTTGCTGGAAGATAAGTTAGGCAGAACTCTTGAAGACACTGGCATAGGAAAAGATTTTATGAACAAATCCTCAGTAGCACGGGAACTAGCAGAAAGAATCAACAACTGGGATCTCATGTTATTAAAAAGATGGATCTCATCTTATTTTGAACTGCAGAAGAAACCATCAACGAACTAAGAGACAACCTACAATGTGGGAAAAATATTTTACCAGATGCTCCTCAGACAGAGGACTATAATCTAGAATATATAAAGAACTCAAAACAATCAGCCCCCCCCAAATGCAAAGACCCAATTCAAAAATGGGCATCTGAAATAAACAGACATTTATCAGACAAAGAAGTAAAAGCAGCAAGTAAATATATGAAAAAAATGTTCCACATCACTGGTCATTCGAGAGACGCAGATGAAAACAACACTGAGATTCCACCTCACCCCACAAAGAATGGCTGCTATCAAGAAATCACACAATAACAAATGTTGGCGGGGTTGTGGGGAGAAAGGAACCCTTCTTCATTGCTGATGGAAGTGCAGATTGGTACAACCACTATGGAAATCAATATGGAGATACCTCAAAGAGCTTGGACTGGAGGTTCCATTTGACCCAGCCATCCCTCTGCTGGGTATCTTTCCAAAAGAATTAAAAGAATCACATCACAATGATATATGTACACCTATGTTTACAGCAGCACAGTTTGTAATAGCTAAAACTTGTAATAAGCCCATTTCCCCATCAGTTGGAAACTGCATAAAGAAGATATGGTTTTTCTATAAAATGGAATACTACTCAGCCATAAAGAATGAGAAATTAGACTCATTCATAGGAAAATGGATACATTTTGAAGATATACTCCAAAGTGAAATAAATAAGTCACATATGTGTAAATACCAAATAGTTTCTCTGGTGTGAAAAGCTATAATAGTACATAAGATCCTAATGAGATAATTAACAATGTGAAATAGGCAGAAAAGGGCGACAGGCATAGGGAAAGTGGGAAGGGTAGGGGAAAGGTAATAAGGGAAATGAAAAAAATATGTAAAAATGGAAATAAAATATTTGTAAACTGGGAGGGGTGGAGGGGCTGAAGGGAGGGCAGGGACAATGGGAAAAAAATGAGAACCAAGACCTGTCAATATAAAGGTACAAGATCCCAATAATGAATGTAACTGTACTGTATAACTAAAAAGTACCAATAAACTCAATTAAAAAAATAAATAAATGGTCCTAGAAAAACTGGACTTCAACCTGCCAAAGATAAAAACTAGACTCATACCTTTCACCATGCTCTATATTAAAATCAGAGTGGATTAAAGATCTAAATTTTAAAACAGAAATACTAAACTTGCTGGAAGATAAGTTAGGCAGAACTCTTGAAGACATTGGCATAGGAAAAAACTTTATCAACAAATCTTCAGTAGCATGGGAACTAGCACAAAGAATCAACAACTGGGACCTCACCTTATTTAAAAGCTTCTGCACTGCAAAAGATACCACTAACACAGCTATGAGTCAACCTACAATATGGGAAAAAAATGTTAGCAGCTGCTCCTCAGACAAAGGACTGCTATCTAGAATATATAAAGAACTCAAAAAAAAAAAAATCACACCCCCCAAATACAAAGACGTGATTCAAAACTGGGCATGGGAAATGAACAGACATTTCTCAGACAAAGAAGTAAAAGCAGCAAGTAAATATATGAAAATGTTCCACATCACTGGTTATTCAAGAGATGCAGATGAAAACAACACGGAGATTCTACCTCACCCCACAAAGAATGGCTGCTATCAAGAAATCAACCAATAACAAATGCTGGTGGGGCTGTGGGGAGAAAGGAAGCCTTCACCATTTTTGGTGGGAGGTGCAGACTGGTGCAACCACTGTGGAAATCAACATAGAGAGACCTAAGAAAACTAGGAGTAGAAGTCTCTTTTGATCCAGCTATTTCCTTCTGGTTATCTTCCCAGAAGAATTAAAAGAAATCATACCACAGTGATATATGCTCACCCTTGTTTATAGTGGCACAGTTTTTAATAGCTAAAACTTGGAAACATCCCAATTGCCCATCAATTTGTGACTGGATAAAGAAGATGTCTGTTTTTTTTTATAAAGTGGAGTACTACTCATACATAACAAATGAGATGCTAGAGGCATTTATAGCTAAATGGATGTATACTGAGGCCATACTCTTAAGGGAAATAAATGGGACAAATGTGTAATTACCAAATATTTTCTCCGGTGTGAGAAACTGAAAGTATAAATGTTTATGACCATACCACCCTGAACATGCCCAATCTCATCTGAAAGTATAAATGAGGATCAAAATATATAATATATAATGTGAAATAGGGGAAAAGTCCAAAGGGGAAGGGGAAGTGGGAGGGGTAAGGGAACAGAAAGAAGGAAAAGGAATAAATGTGAGAAAAGGAAATAATAGAAACAAAATCTTTCTAAGTGGGGGTTGGTGGTAGAGGGTTTGAAGGGAGAATGGGGGAATGGGGAAAAAAATAAGAACCAAGATATATCATGTAAAGGTACAAATTCCCAATGATGACTGTCATCATAGTGTATACCTAAAATGTACCAATAAAATAAGTGAATAAAAAAACATCATGAACATGAAAAAATGGAGAAGTATTACTGAGTAGAAGACAATAGAAACTGTAATTGAAGATTACAATCCATTTTATACATAGGTCATTACAGGAAAATGTGGAGCTGGGGCCTCTGGGGAAAGAGTATGTAAGAGTTCTTTCTAATATTCTAGTAACCTTCCATAAATACGAGATTATTTTTTAAATTCTAAACAGTATAACGGTATACACATGTATTCCAAGTTACTCACAAGGCTGAGAAGGGCAAATCATAAATTCAAGGAAATTGTGAGAAATTTAGTGAGAATCTGTCTCAAAATAAAATATAAAATGTCTAGGATAAAGCTCAACACTAGAAAACTTACACTACTAGTATGTACAAGACACTGGATTCAATCCTCACTATGGCATAAGTATATACATGAAGAAGTCTAGAAGAGTACCTAGCATACATAAGTAATGTATAAATATTTACAACATTATGTTCTACATTATAATATGGGGTGGGGGTAAGAGCAACCTCACAAGTAGGTACAATTTATGGTACATTGGGAACATTTTCCCTAGTTTCTACATACATCTCTGCTATTATTTCCTTCTGTAACATGCATAGGTACAGAAAAATGGGGAAAGAAAGAAAAAAGAGATAAAATGGAAAACAAAAGTTATAAATTTAGAAAATTTGTTGAGATCCAGTCCAGGAAGCAGGCTTTATCCTATCAAATCTCTCATACAACAATATTCCAATATAAAAATATATAATATAAAAAGATAGAATAACAGTAGTATAATTCACTACTTTTAACTTTTCAGCAGTGAAATAACCCCATTTTTTTCATTATGTAGCATGAGCTATGGAGATAATATTGTCAAAATTATTTGACAATAAAGGGGGAAAATTTTTGAGACATAATTAATAACACCTTTTCAAATAACCTCCCTCATTAATAACAAATAAATACAATATTTCAAAGATCAGTTAAGTGGAATTGATTTCAAATAGAATGTTCAAAAGGATGTATGCAGTCGTAATGATTTTCTCTGGAACTTAATACAGTGTATTTTCAAACTCTTGGAGATAAATGAAAAAATTTTACTCACCAATTTAGGGAGCCTCATCAACATATCTTTGCAATGCAATGCACATATGGATGCTCTTTGAAAGTCCCCTTGAGCCACTGCCTGAGAAAGAGAATGTCAATAATGGGTTAAATGACAAGATATTTGTCTAGAAGTCAATTTTAGTATATTTTAACTATTGTTTAAAAGTTTTATTTTGTTTTCTAAACTTTTTAAAAATGCTAGGTGGTGTCATTAAATATAATAGCCAACTCAAAATACCAAGGAAAAAGTGGAAAAAATCTTTGGTAACACCAAGCTGACACTAAATGAGCAATCATTTACTTTTTCTAGAAATACATAAACTAGTATATTATGTTATGCTATGGAATTATATTATGATATAATGTCATACCTAATAAATGCTTCTTTGACTTGAATAGTTTTTGTGTTTATCTCCATATTAAAGGAGTTTAGCTAAATAGATGTCTTTTGTCCTTAAAAAGTTCACAATAACCTTGTACTCTAAAATGCTGCTAATATTTTACTGCAATCCCATCTCAAAGCCAGAAGAGCCACCCTGCCATTTATTATGTGCCATTATTAGTGTCTTAAATTTTCCTCATTTATGAAACTATTAAATTATCTCTGTATAGATAAAGAAATGTGGTATTTACACACTATGGAGTACTTCTCTTCCATAAAGAAAGATAAACTTGAATCATTTGTAGGAAAATGGATGTACCTTGAAATTATAATGTCAAGTGAGATAAATCTGACACACAAGCTTAAATATCATATTGTTGCTTTTATATGAGAAACCCAGAGTACAAATAAATAGCAAAATAAGAGATAATAGAAAAAATGGAGATGAATCATTCTCAAAGAGGAAGGGACTCAGGAGATGCAGGAGGGAAGCAATGGATAAGGGATACAAAAGGAATTGAGATGTGCTATATAGTTGTGGAGTCACACAAGTAATGTAAATATTATGTACTGCAAATATGTACAAAAAAGGATAGGGGATCAAGCAGGGAGGGGAGAAAAGGAGGATGTAAAAAGGAATTAAGATGCGTTGTGTACATGTACTAGCTTTCAACAAGGAATACAGACAATATGGAGTACACAATACACTAATAACCTAAACTTTAAAATGGAAGAATTAAAATTAAAAATAGATAAATAAAAATAAACTATCTCTAGAATTTCATTTAGCTCTGTGAAAACCTTCAAAATGAACAGAAATAACAATAACATAAACACACATAAATAAGCTTCAGCCACTTAAGAATTTAGCCGACTGCTAGAGAAACAGGAAGATCAAAATGTTGAGTCCTGCCTGGGCAACTAAGCAAGACACTGTTTCAAAGTTTAAAAAGGATTAGTGATATATAGTTCAGTGGGCAGAGCACTCCTGGATTCAATCCCAAGTACTCCTGGAAAAACAGAATTGAACAGACAATGTAATTTTTTTTAAAAAATGACACAAACAAGAAAAGAGTTTTATAAAGTACTAAAGAAAAAACTCCTTAAATTTGCTATTTTCTTTTAAGTGGTATTAAATGTTCTTGTGCTTTGAATAAAAAAGATTGAGAGGCTGAAAATACAGCTTAATGCTAAGTATTTACCTAGTATGCTCTGGCCCCCTCAGTTCCATCCTCTCACCAAAAAAATGGAAAATATCAATTTCTCATTACTTTTCTCGTCTAGCAATCTGGTAAATAATAACCTTCACATCTTCCGGAGTAGATACCTCCTGTAAAGCTTCATTACTGGATGTTGTTAAAAGAAGAAACACAAATTATATAACTGATAATGTGAAATAGGAAGAAAGGGGCTAAAGGTGTAGGGAAGTGGGAAGGGTAGGGGAAAGGAAATAAGGGACAAGAAAAAAAATGAGAAAATGAAAAAACAGAAACAAAGTCCTTGTAAATAGGGGAGGGTGGAGGGGATAAAGGTAGGATAGGGATATGGGGAAAAAATGAGAACAAAGGTCTGTCACGTGGGTATACAAGATCCCAATAATGAATGTAACTCTACTGTATACTTAAATAGTACTAATAAACTCAATAAGATAAAAAAACAGATTGCTAATACAAGAGTCTCGAAAAGTCAAACAGCTATCTATAGATACCACAAAATAAAATTTCCATCTATACGATGATTTAATGAATACTTGCTGATTGATTCATTATTCAAAATGGAGAAAAAGAAAAATGCTGAGTGACAAACATCATATTAGAAAATGTTGCTTTCTCTCCTTATATAGAAGGAAATGACATTTTAATATTCAAAGAACCCATGCGATGTTTGTCATTACTGACATTTCATTCTAGAGGAAAAAAGATCTAATAATGCAAACTAGTTTTGAAAATGCATTATCTTGTTGGGGCCAAACTCACTATCTTAAACCCAAAAGAGAGTTCAGTTAAAAAAAGTCTTTTTTGTTTCATTTTATTTTGAGATACTGGAGAAGGAGAGTCCATGGCCATCACACTGAGCTATGTCTCCAGCTCTATTTTTATGTTGAGACAGGGTCTCATGAAGTCACTAACTTGCTAAGGCAGGGCTCAAACTTGTGATTCTCCTTCCTTAGTCTCCATTGAGAAAAGGTAGTGCTGGGCTGGGGATTTAGCTCAGTGGGTCCGGCGCCTACCTCACAAGTGCAAGGGCCCAAGTTCGATCCCTGGTACCAAGAAAAAAAAAAGAACAAAAAAAGAAAAGGTAGTGCTACAGATATAGCTCCATGGTACAACACTTGTCAATCTACCAGTTTCAACTGATTCTAATGGTATAACTGACAATATGAAAGAGGAAGAAAAGGGCTAAAGGTGTAGGAAGTGGGAAGGGTAGGTGAAAGGAAATAAGGGGAAAAAATGAGAAAATGAAAAAATGGAAATAAAAGTTTTTGTAAATAGAGAAGAGAGGAGGGGGTGAAGGGAGGGCAGGGGTAAGGGGAAAAAATGAGAACCAAGACCTGTCATGTAAAAGTACAAGATCCCAATGATGAATGTAACTCTACAGTATACCTAAAATGTACCAATAAACTCAATGAGAAAAAAATAAACAACATAAATTGTTCAGCTTGTCATCAAATTTGTAATACCCCTACCTGAACATCTTGGATTGCAAAATAAAATGTGCACACTATTGCCAGTCAAATTAGCATCAGTGATCAGAATTAAAAATAAAGAGATTATTTGCTCCTATGTGGTACTTAATGGTGAGTTAAAGTCATATGCCAGCATATTATAAAGTATCATAATTTGTGCTAGAAGGCCAAGAACCATACATTTCACGTTCCTTAAAAGATATACAAAAATCTCCAAGGCAGGTTAGAACTGCTACTCAAAAGAAATGAATTATGATGATTATACACGAAATTAGATACTAGACTAGCCATCATATAATAGACCTCTAAGTGATTATGACAACAAAAGAAATTTAACCACAATAAACTGCACTGTTATGGGAGGTTAGGATCAGTGAGAGTATTTGTGAGAAGGGCTAGTATTAAAAAAGAAGGCATTTAGTTTTGTGGTACACTGGACCTCTGGCACAACTGAATATATCCAGCAGATATTAGCAATCAGAGCTACCATAGGTTAGAGCCTGGAATTTAGCTCAGTGGTGCCACTGCCTGCCTCACAAGTGCAAGGTCCTGAGTTCAATTCCTGGTACCAAAAATCAAAGCAAAACAAAACAACAACAACAACAACAAAAAAGAACTACTACAGGTCATATAAGTGTGGCCTAAGTGTCTTCATTTAATCATACTCATCTCTGTCTTGACTAAGGGCTGTTCATAAGTGGTTCATAGGGTTTGGCAGTTGAAATTTGATGACATTATTGTCACTGAATTCACTATTATAGCCAGGGTAACATAATAATAGTTTGCAACTGACTTTCTCTCTCTGCCAATAACTACATTGCCTGGGGGTTATAAACAATATTATGGCTCACTATCAAAGAATGAGGCACTGTGCCAAAGAATTTGCATATCTCAGCACAGGTTCATAGGGTTTGGCAGTTGAAATTTGATGACATTATTGTCACTGAATTCACTATTATAGCCAGGGTAACATAATAATAGTTTGCAACTGACTTTCTCTCTCTGCCAATAACTACATTGCCTGGGGGTTATAAACAATATTATGGCTCACTATCAAAGAATGAGGCACTGTGCCAAAGAATTTGCATATCTCAGCACAAAAAAATAAACAACAAAACCCCCCCAAAATGAAAAGACAAAGCAACAAAATGCCTCCAAAAACTCCAAACTCCCCTAAACTGGTTCAAAGGGCATTGAGGGTGTGGAAATCATAAATTACACAGCAGATGTGTCCGAACGGATACCAGTGGAAGTAAAACAGTTTAATAAGTGACTTGGAAAATTTAAATAAGATAAAACTAATCAGATAGTGATCCTGATGAAACAAATGACCAGTGAGTCTAGAGAAGACAATAATACACAGGTATTGAGCTAAAGGAAGAGATGCAAATCTACGAATGCCCAGCATAGACAAGAACGGTAGTCCATAAGAAAAGTCCAAACCAAAGTCCAACAGATCAAAAACATGACTGAAAATATGGGTAGCAGAAATGACCAACATGAAGAAGAGTAGCAGAACTACTGGTAGAAGATACGGCTGAAGTCAAGGATAAATTAATGAGAGATAACTTGGAAACAATGAGGGAACATGAAAATGGATCCAAGAGCTCCTCAGTGACTCAAAGAGGACCAATATATCAGTAATTGGAGTTAGTGAAAAATCAGAAGACACCAGAAAGGGAATAAAATACCTGTTTACACAGGTAGTTGCAGAAAAATTTCTAGACATGGAAAAGGAGCTTGACATACAGATTATACAGATTAAGTGAACATATCAAAAAACTCCAAACTCCCCTAAACTGGTTCAAAGGGCATTGAGGGTGTGGAAATCATAAATTACACAGCAGATGTGTCCGAACGGATACCAGTGGAAGTAAAACAGTTTAATAAGTGACTTGGAAAATTTAAATAAGATAAAACTAATCAGATAGTGATCCTGATGAAACAAATGACCAGTGAGTCTAGAGAAGACAATAATACACAGGTATTGAGCTAAAGGAAGAGATGCAAA